GACCCCATCTGCGGTTGTCTTGGCAAAGGTACTGCAGTGATTTGCCATTTCCTTCTCCAGCTCATTTTGCAGAAGAGAAAACTGAGGCAAACAAGGGTAAGTGACTTGCCCAGAGTCACACAACTAGGAAGTGTCTGTGGCTGGACTTGAACTCAGGTCCTCCTGACTCCAGGCTGGGAGCTTTATATACTGTACCACCTAGTTTTACATTGGTTTGTTTTAAACTCTGGGCATATAAACAGGAACTCTTCTTTAGGAGTGACCCTAATGGTGGCATTTTAGACAGCGACCAGGGCTAGTGGGAGATGCATTTTTCTCTGTTTTTCTTGATTCCTACCCCATATTCCTATCGCCTATTCTTGTCTACACTGGTACTGTCTCCGCCCCCTCCAACGAGCCAGAGTGATTTCACTAGAGCGGTGTCTCACGCTGTGAGCACTCCCGGCTTCCCCACTGGGAGGAATCTGATACAAGGCGGGCAGGGAGGGAGAGAGAGGGAAACAAACCCTTCTTCACTTAAAAAAGAAATAAAACCGGCAGCAAATATTTACTGACTTGGCAAAGGCCTCCCCGCCATGCCAGCAGAAAGACAAAGGCAGGCCCCAGCAGCTTCATCTGCAGCCTCCGTTTATTAAGGTAGAAGTGTTTGCCACCCAAACACTTGTGTGTGTGTGAGCTTGTGTCTGAGTGTGTGTGTGTGTGTCTGAGTGAATGTGTGTGTGTCTGAGTGTGTCTGAGTGTGTGTGCACATGTGCATGAGTGTGTATAGGTGTCTGAGTGTGTGTGTGAGTGTGTGTGCACATGTGCATGAGTATGTATATGTCTGAGTGTATATAGGTGTCTGAGTGTGTGTGTGTGTGCATGTGTGCATGAGTCTGTATATGTCTGAGTGTGTATAGGTGTCTGAGTATGTGTCTGAGTGTGTGTGTAAGTGTGCATGAGTGTGTATCTGTCTGAGTGTGTATAGGTGTCTGAGTGTGTGTCTGAGTCTATGTGTCTGAGTGTGTGTGCAAGTGTGCATGAGTGTGTATATGTCTGAGTGTGTATAGGTGTCTGAGTGTGTGTCTGAGTGTGTGTGTAAGTGTGCATGAGTGTGTATATGTCTGAGTGTGTATAGGTGTCTGAGTGTGTGTCTGAGTGTGTGTCTGCATGTGTCTGAGTGAGTGTGTGTCTGAGTGTGTATGCACATGTGCATGAGTGTGTATGTGTGTCTGAGTGTGAGTGAGTGTCTCAGTGTGTGTGTCCATGTGTGTCTGAGTGTGTGTGCGTGTACATGAGTGTGTATGGGTGTCTGAGTGTGTGCATGTGTGTGTGTGTGTGTGTGTGTTGTGTGTGTGTGTGTGTGTATCGGGGGAGGGGTGCAAACTTCTTGCTCTAGCCGATGGCCATGTAAGGAGACAGACCTGGAGGGGCACCAGCCTTCTCTCCTTTTCTGCACATGCTCCAGAGGTCCAAGGATCTGGGTTCCCCAAAGGGGCTCAGTCGCAGGATGCTGGGTCTGCCTCGGTTGACTGAGGATGCAGAACTCCACTGACTATGGGGAGATGTGGCCTTTGGCAGAGAAAAGCGATGGCCTCCTCATAGATGGGAGAGGAGGGGGCATGAAGGCTGAGCTCTGACTTCAGAGGGAGAAGTCCATAAACAAATGAAGCATTTGCAGCTGGATGCCTCTCCAAGACATGCCCATTTCCTGGAGCTCGACCCCAGACTCTGATTCTCTCTGAATAATCAGCCTTCACCCCAGCTCTTCCTTTCTTTCCCAACTCCAAAGATACCAAAGCAATTTCAGGGATTCTCTCTTAACTGACTGGAATCTCTGGGGAATCTCAAAATTAACTTGTTTCTTCTCTTCTTCTTCTATGCAACTAGGTGGTGCAGTGGATAGAACTCCAGGCCTGGAGTCAGGAAGACTTGAGTTCAAATCTAGCCTCAGATGCTGACTAGCTGCGTGACCCTGGACAAGTCACTTAATGCTTTTACCTCAGCTTCTTCATCTGTAAAATGGGGATAATAATAGCCCCTCCCTCCCAGGCTTGTTATGAAGATCAAATGAGATATAATTATATAAAGAGTTTACTACAATGTCTGGCACGTAGCACCCTCTTATTATTATTTTCCTGGGGACTGTCTGGATTTGAGTAACTGGCTCCAGCTTAGAACTGTTTTCCAAGTTCTGGACTTAGAGTCAAGAAGACCCAAGTTCAAATCCTGCCTCAGACACTTCTTAGCTATGTGATTCTAGAGAAAACCATTTAAACTCTCTGTGCCTCAGTTTCCTCATCTGTAAAATGAGGGGTTGGTCTGGAGAGCCTTTACGGTCCCTTCCCTCTCTAAATCTATGGTTCTATGATTTTTCTTTAATATGATTGCTGTATTTCAAATTAGAGGACCCAGATTCAAATTGTGACCCTACTACTTAGCTCCTGTGAGTGACTCTAAATACACATGGTAGGTTCCTCTCCTTCAGAGGTACTCAGTTCACTAAGGGTGTCAGGGCATCTCCTTTGGCAAGTCTCTTAGTATGGCTGGGCCTCAGTTTCCTCCTCTTTGAAAACAAGTGATTAGATCGGAATAGCTCTAAAATCTCTTCCAGCTCTAAATCTGTGACCTTAGCAAGGTAAGTAGAACACTGCTTCATTTATCCATCCATCCATCCATCCATCCAAGAGGGATTCAGTATGGCCCCATAAAAAAAATCTAAAGCAGGAGAGAGTGAGGTACAGATCCCAGCTCTGACATTTGATGGTCTCATTATTACTGGAAAATTATTTCATCTGACTCTCAGTTTCCATATCTGTAAAATGGGAATAGGAATATATATATATATACATATATACTAACTTTGCCTTAAGAAATGTTTTAAAATGTGAGATATATGTGTATATATGTATATACATATATATTATATGCACACAGAGAGAGTTAACATTTATACAGCACCTTCTATGTGCCAGGCACTGTGCTAAGTGCTTTACAATTATTATCTCATTTGATTCTCATGACAACCCCAGGAGATAGGTGCTATTCTTATTCCCATTTTACAGATGAGGAAACTGAGCCAAACTTAGTCACATAGCTAATAAGTATCTGAGAAGGAATTTGAACTCAGGTCTTCCTGACTCCAAGCCTATCCACCACCTACTGAGGGAAAGACATAGTCTGCCTTACTCTGGGAGAGTGAGTTGTACTCACAGGGTACTGACTGCCCATATATGTGCATGTTGTCTCCCTCTATAAAATGTATGCACCTTGAGGGCAGGGACTGTTTTATTTTTATCTTTGTTTTTCCAGTGCCTGACCCATAGTAAGTGCTTTAGTAATGCTTACTGATTGATTGATCTCTCTGAGTGCAGACTGCCCTTCTACTCCTTGAGCCTCTGTTAATGGCGCTAATGAAATGCTGGGGTGTGTGGAGTTCCCAGCATTCTTCCAAGCGTCCTTAATGTGAGCATTATTTAGGACTTGAAGTCTGTTCAGGAAGAATCTTAATCATTCTATCAATATTATGACACAGCTTGTCAGGGAGTTGAGAACAGATTGCACGCAGTCAGCATTCACCTGGTGGGCAAAGATTTTTCTTCTGCTTTGTCTCGCGCTCAGATCTTAAAGCGCCAGCCCTGCGTCATGGGGATGAAGGAGGAGGCACATCCTCAGTCTCTTGTAATCTCTCACGGAATCATTCGGGTCTCACCTTCCCCAGTGAGGCAGTCAAGGCTCTCCCCAGGCTGTCTCTGCAGTTCTATCCACCGAGGCTCCCTGAAACGAGCCCTCTGCCCCAGCCCAGCTAGTCTCTGGAACGTTCCCTGAAGATGTTTGATGTAACCCTCGCCTTGGTCATTGATGTGGAGTGAAAAATCTGGAGTCCCGGCTCTGCTACTCGCCATACATAATGGCTGTGTGTCTGTGGCATCCCTCCCCTTCTCCTGGGATCCACAATTTAGAATCACAGGATGAGGCCACTTAGAACAGGCAAGGGTAGAAAACAGCTGACGTGCTCTCTTCATTTTATTTGGTAGAGAATAAGTTTTGGTGATCGCCTTTGCTTTTGTTTCGTAGATAGTTCTGATTATTGTCCCCTCCTCCTACTACATGCACCACACACTTGAACCCTCATTTTTAATAACAATTATAGGTTACATTTATATAGCACTCACCATGTTTCCAATGCTTTATAAATCGTCTCATTTGATTCACACAAACCCAAGTGCTATTACTGTTCCCTTTTTACAGGGGAGGAAACTGAGGCAAAGTGACTTGCCAAGGGACACATCGTAACCTCCCATTTTACAGATGAGGAACCCGAGATGAAGTGACTTGCGTGAGGACACACATGTAGCATGCATCTGAGGGTAGAATTTGAACTCAGTTCTTCCTGACTCCAAGCCCCTCTGCTCTATCTCCTACACTATCTAGCTGCCCAGAAGCTTTAACTCGTCCTTGTTATGACAAATGACTAAGTGACCACATCAAAGAATTCATTCAAGGCTGTCTCCTAGTAGGTCCCCTTTTCTCTGCTGAAAAGAAAAAGGTAAATTTCATTATCTATGTTCCTGGATAATTATCAATTTGCTTATTTTGAACATTTTTATATCACTGTCAGTGCTGAATATTCTCTGTTTTTCCTGTCATCAAAGAATTGACCTCTTCCTTTTAACAATCAATCAACAAGTATTTTTTAAGCACCTACTATGTTCCAGGAAAATGTGCTGAACACTGGGAATACAAAGGAGTCGGCAAGCACTTATTAAGCACCTACTATGTGCCAGGTACTGTGCTGAACACTGAGAATACAAAGGAGTTGACAAGCACTTATTAAGCACCTTCTATGTGTCAGGCACTGTGCTGAACACTGGGAATGCAAAGGAGTTGATAAGCATTTATTAAGTGCCTACTATGTGCCAGGTACTAAGCTGAGCCCCGGGGACAGAAACAAAAGCAAAAAATAGTCCCTGTCTTCAAGGAGCTTACCTATTAATGGGGAAGACAATATACATAAATCAGAACATACAAGATACATGCAAGTAAAGGAAAGTTAGCCTTCAAATTGTTCTCTCTGGTGTCATTCTTTAAGATTTACAATCACTTTTCAAATATTATCTTACTGGAGTCTCCTAAGGACTCAGTGAGGTAGACGTTATTACTCTCCTCATTTTATAGGGGCTGAGTGGGCCAAGTGACTTTCTCAGCATCACACAAGGAGTTAATGTCTGAGGTAGGATTTGAATCCAGGTCTTCTGACCTCCATGTCCAGTGTTCGATCCACTATTTCACATTGCCTAACAAAGAAAGAAAAGTCAGATAAGCAAAAATAACTGATTCAGTTAGTGTGTCTGCAAATGTGCACAACATTCTGCCATCATAGTCTTCTGTCTCTTGGCCAAAAGAAAGAATGCCTTCCAAGAGAATGGAATATTTTCTTCTCCTTGAGGGTAGGGACTGTTTCCTTTTTATTCATATATACCCACCATCAGAGGCAGCAAGACGGCACCACAATGCATAGAGCACTCAGCCTAGAATGAGAAAGACCTGAGTTCAAATCCATCCTCAGAAGCTTCCTAGCTGTGTGACCCTGGTCAAGTCACTTAACATCTGTCTGCCTTAGTTTCCTCAACCATAAAATAGAGATAATAATGGCACCAGCCTTCCAGGGATGTTATGAAGATTGAATGAGATAATATTTGTAAAGTGCTTAGCACAGTACCTAGCACATAGTAGGTACTTAATAAATATTTGTCAATTCATTGATGCTTCATTGATTTCTCCCTAGGACAATTATCGATTTTACTCAGTTTGCCTTACTTCAAGTGACCTTTTCTTTGACACTGTGGAGTAGCTCTGTCTATGCCCTGATTCTGCTATTTCACTCTCCACCAGGAACACATCACACCAAATTTCTCTGAATGTTTCATATTCATCCATTTCCATTGCACAGTAATATTCTTTTACATTCATGTAACATAATCTGTTAGAACACATTCCAATCAATACAACAGAAAAGGAAACTGAGCCATAGAAAGAAAAGTGACTTTATCAATGGCACACAATTAGTTAGCATCAAGGCTGGTACTAGAACTTAAGCCAGAATCAATATTTGGTAATGGATTAATGGGTGAGCAGGATGGCATAAAAGAAGACAAGAATTCAACATTTCTTAGCTTGAGTCTTCACAGAGTACCCCCGAAGACAGAGCATCCTTTCCCTAATAACCAAAGTTATATAATATACATATATATATATATATATATATATATATATAATATAGACAATAATATATTACTTAATAACCAAAGTTATATATGTACACATACATTATACAGACAATAATATATTCTCTAATAACCAATGTTATATCATATATATATATATATATAACATAGACAACAACATATTTCCTAATAACCAAAGTTATATAATATAATAACCAAAGGCAAGACACTTTTTTAATCTTGGGAGGCTAGCATATTGGTTCCAATTGAACATAAATGTCTATCTTTGTGTCCAAAAGTTTCATAAAGTGGCTAGATGAAATAGTATGGGGGTTTTAGCTGACCACTTCTTCAATATCAGTCCACAGGACAGTTTCAGAGTCAAAAGAACTGCCCGGAGTTTAAGCTATGTTGAAAGGCAATGGGAAGTGGTATTTCTACTGTCCTCCTCCTTGGATGGAAAATATATTGGGTTCCATTCTAAGTATCACATTTTAGGAAAGACATAGAGAGACAAGGTGTAGACCATCCAGAAGAAGGTGACCTGAGCCTAACATACAGGAGAATACGAGGAAGTCTGGAGAGCCTCTGAGGAGTGAAACAAGGTAAATAAATGTATTATATTTTCTCATTGAATTTCACGTCTCACAATCAGGAAATATACCACCATGGTTAACAGAGAAGCAAAAAACTTTGAAACCTGCCTCAAACAACACAAATTTCTATGTGACCTTCAGAGTAACATTCTGCCCACAGAGAGTGTGCTATGGGTGTGTTTCTTCCGGTCTCATGTAACAAATATATATATGAGTCACACTGGTGGTGGTGGGTATTGCTATGGAGGATGCTCATACTCATCACCCCCCTCTCTTATGCCTTTTGTCTCTGCGGATGTAATTGGTTGTACCCTACTACTAGCCATCAACTTGTTGTTAGCCTAGAGGTAATACGATGGCCCCCAGGTCTATGTGGTCCCTTCCTCTGCCACTTTAAATAGCTTATATTAAATGAAAAGTTAAGGGTATACTCATAATAGCTCATAGCACCTACTTGGGAAAATTCCTAACCTTAGGCAGAGGTTTGGCTTTCTTCATTAATTTGAATTTATGTTAATCTCTATATAAATCCCTGGCATTTTTGTGGTTGAAATAAAGATTCAGATCCCAGAAATAGTGGGATAAAGAAATTAATAGATGAGGGAGGGAGAAAATTTGGAACTCAAAATTAAAAAAAAAAGAATGTTAAAAATTGTCTTTACATGTAATTGGGAAAAAAATAAAATACTATAAAAAAGAAATCAAAAGAAATGAATCGAGTATGTTACAGTGGTCATGTAGTGGGTAGAGTGCCAGGTCTGGAATCAGGAAGACTCCTATTCCTGAGTTCAAATCTGGTCTCAGACACTCCCCAGCCATGTGACCCGGGGCAAATCCACTTAATCCTGTCTGCCTCCATTTCCTCATCTGTAAAATGAGAAAGAAATGGCAAACCACGCTAGTATCTTTGCCAAGAAAACTTCAAATGGGGTCTTGAAGAGTCAGACATGACTGAAACAACTGAACAACAACAACGTGTTAATAGACAGGCATTGGGAAGAAAAATGAGGGGGAAAGCAGGCCTATCTTGAAACTCCTCAACAGTAGCTTCAGGTCAGCTTTCGCTCCAAGATGGCCCTCCTCAATTCACTGCTTCATCCTTTTTTTTTTCCTTTCTCCTTTTACCTGTTGCCCGAATGTCGACAATTTCCTCCAACTCAGCTCTTGAAGCCCCCCTTCTTCCTCTCACTCAATCTCTCTCAGACCGTATATGTATATTTACAGAACATAACTCAATTTTACCTTGTGGTTCAAAGACCTCAGTAGTCCTATATTGATCTCAAGGCTGAGGAAGAACTGTTTGTCTCTCGGAATTACAAGTCTCAGGGTGCAGTCAATTGTCAAAACCCTGTTACATATACTCAAAAGATAAATTGATCTCCTTCCAATATGAGGGCCTGAGAGGCCTGGAAGAATGTCTTTTTACTCTCCAAGTCATCAGGGAGAATGAAAAGCTCCTTGAAAGATTAGATTATCAGCAAGGAAGAAACAAGTAAGAAAAGGAATGGGAAGCCATAAAAGAGAAGTCTCACTTGGGTGAAGAGGTTGGAGGCTTGGAGACTGTAGAAGAAAAGGAAGAAGGGCTATGGAACATCTGGAGCTAAGTAATATGTCTGTGGTCCTACCTGCAGAGCAGGGGTTGGTTCTTAACCCTATTTATGCTATAGACTCCTTTGGATATCTGGTGATGCCTTTGGACATTTTCTCAGAGTAATGTTTGTAAATAATTGAAGGAAAAGCTAAATTTCAGTGAAAGATCAGTGAAGATAAAGGTAAACATTTTCCCCATTCAAGTTCATGCCCCCTCCCCTTGAAATTTACACATGGATCCCTCGGGTGTTCATGGACCTTAAGTTATGAATCCCTACTATGGAAAGAAGAGTGGGACTGTCTTTGTCTAAAGTAACTCAAAGAAAGAAAATCTATATCCCTAGAGGGCATCTGATCCCACAAGGTGAAAGAAGAGAAGGAGAGCAGTCATGATGAGTAGCTTACTAAAGGATAATGAGGTAATTATTTGTCAGCATAACATAAGCCACTTGTCTTGTTAGGCATGTATCTGGTATGTGAGGGAGACCCTCCCGAGAATTGCCAAACCTGACCACCATGATCCAAATTGGATGATTTACGTGGGGGGAGGGGAAGATAGCACCAGAAAAAAACTAGAAAGCATTGCTAAGGATCGTGAAATCCAGAGAGACAGAGAAGGAAGGGGGAACACCCAATACCTGAAGACCTTGAGAACATGGGTGGTATTTTCCATACTATTGCTATTTGAAGACAGGGGATTCAGAAAAAGAAAAGTATGGTGACGGCTAACTAAGAAGAGGATCTCTGAGATTAGCATTTGGATTTCTGTCTTATACAAGGATGATAAGCTCTTGGCAAGAAATTGAACACACCTAACAAGGACCAATATAAACAAATTTGCTCGGAGATTGGGGAAATTGAGTCAAGAGTGAAGTTAAGACTGAATAAAGAGCAGAAGGGAGAAAACTGACTACCTCAGCCCAACAAAGAGGAGCAGGTAACCCATATGAGAAAGAATAAGACAGGACCAGTAATTGATGGAAGGCAATATCCAAGGAAAAAAAACAGCAATAAAATCTTAATTGCCTATTAACAAATGCACAAATTATTGGTAATAAACATGAACGGCAACCAGCATGCATTTATTAAGTGCTTACTGTATGACAGGTACTCTGCTAAGTGCTAGAGATAACAGAGAGGCAAAAGACAACATCTGTTCTCAGGAAACTCAACGATCTAGTGGAAGAGAAAATATACAAACAATTATGTACGTGTAAGATATACACAGGTCATCTCAGAGGCGAGGTACTGGGTTGGGGGTGGAAGGAGGGACTAGGAAAGGCTTTTTGTAGAAAGTGAGATTTAAGTTGTCTTGAAAGAAACAATGGTAGCCAAGAAGTGAAGCTGAGGAACATAATTGAACTAACAACTGTAATTTGACCTCATAGGTACCACTAAGACATGGTAAAATGGAACTCATTGTTGGAATCTGGGCCTGGAAGGGTATGACTTATTCAAAAGAACAATAATAGATAAAGGAGGTTGGGGCGCATGTAACGAATAGCATTGTATATTAAGAATGTTAATTCAATTGAAGAAATATAGAAACCTAAATGGAAAGACATAGTGGAAAGCATTTGGCTGAGAATCAATAGAAGTAGAAAAAGATATATATAGCTAAGAGGTCAATTTAGGCTTCATTGTTAGGGGAAAAAAAAACAACTCACTACCAATTAAAGCTATCTGAAAGTGGAATGGGCAGCCTCAAACTCTGTGATTCTGCAAAGTTCCAAAAGCTTAATCTTTTGAGTGGAAAATTGGCCAAGGAATCAAATTCTTAAGACACAATCAAAAATGATTATTATAAGGAAGGGAAAAAAGGGATTTGCCTAAAGGATGATATGCTTTTCATGGATAAATATTAAAATTTTATATTAAAAAGAC